TATTAGAAATGTTTGCTCATCTCGCAGGACACTCACAAACCAAGTTACTTGCAATCCAAGGTTTTACTGTACTTGTTGTGTCTCACTGTGCTCCAATGCAGGCGGGGGGTAGCCGGGAGCCTTTATCACTTACCGTGAAACCTTTCCTAAGCCTTTCTGTTACCTCCCGATGATGTTTTTCAGAACTGCTGCTCTTCGGGAGTCTCAGCAGGTTGCCCTAGATAGTGAGCTGTTGGACACAATGCCCAAACAGTATGTTAACCGGGAAGAACAGACCACACTGCATTTGGAGTGCAGAGGCAGTAGTGGTAAGAAATGCCAGGGAGCAGCAGTTGTAACAGTTCAGGTAAGACTGTTTACATTTCTTCATAATTTACAGAATTTTAACTGAGTCCCTAATAATTGGCGTATCATTGAGAAAGACTGAAAGAAGCAGATAGCAGATGATCATGCCCCAGAGCATTTAATAGTTTTTTTTTAGGGGGTGAAGACACACACTAATCACATATTTCCACAAGCGCTGATGAGTCCTATAAAATAGAAATTTTTAAAAATTCAGAATCATTGAGAATATCCTAGGGAAAGGTCCTTCCTTATACTGATGGATCTTTAAAAGATTTTGATACTGATAGTTTTGATTCAGTTAGAAGGAATGTGGGAATGGTGCGACAGGGCTTCTAATAGGGGTCAGTGGCGCGATCAGTCTGCTTCAGGTTGTTTTTGGAAGTGGTGGCAGGAATCCACACTGGAAGGCTGGATGTCACGTGGGAACAGACAATCACTTGGGAGCTCTGGCTGTGTGCTGCAGACAGTTGGGAGCCCCTGAAGACAAACATGGGAAGGACCCGTGGAAAGCAGATCAGTTCAGTGGAGCCTGCCAACAGGCAAAAGGAGAGACGTGCAACCACATGAGTGAAATACAGCTGCCCCTAGCGTCACTTTTTTGAGTTGGAAAGGTAGCGTTAAGTTAGATCTGTCACTTCATAAGGACTTCAGAATGGAAGTTTAGCCTTAGGCAGTATGTCATAGCACTTACTTTCTGCCTGGCACTGTCTGAACACTTTGCTGAACTTATTTTATCCTCACCACAACCTGATAAGGTGAGTGTTTTTATTATCTGCATTTTCCAGATAAAGAACTAGAGACAGAGAGAGGTTAAGTGACATACCCAATATGACACAGCCAGGGAGTGGCAAAACCAGGAAGGCCTAGGCAGTCTGGTGACAGAGCCCATGTCCCTTAATCACTGCATCTCACTCCTTCTGCACGTGAATTCAGGATTCCCTCAGCTTAGAGACAGGTGCTACCTGCTGCCTGACTACATTTGCACAAAAATAGCGCCCCTTTTTTGTTAGCTTTGAGGACTGGAAAAAATTTATTTTACTGACTCTTGGTTGTCTTTCAAACATTTCTCTTCTTTTTGTCCTAATCTACACTTTAATAGTTCTAATATATTCGTCATCAATCTCCTTAGGACACTGTTTTCTCTAAAATGTCCTCTCAGAAATAACTTTTATATTTGTATTTTTCATTACCTTAAGATTTATTTCTGATAAAATAACATTTGTATGCATCTAAAGTTAGAAAATTTGATCTGGAATGTGATCAGTGATTAGAAGATTCATGGAATTTTTTTTTTTTTNTATTGATTTTCATTTTGTGTTCCTGAAAGTTTTTTAAATGAGAAGAAGCAATATGTGGATAGTCTGGAAGCTGTTGAATGCGTCTCTGTTCATGTCTTCCCCTCTGTAGTGCTCAGATCGCCTCGGCACTGCCCAAAAAGGCTGACTGTTTTCTCTGGAGTTAAGCTAGTGGTTTAGTAAGCCTTTAGTTGGTTCCAGGCACTGTCCCAGTATTTCATGTGCTAAGTTAACTCAGTCCTCTCAACAACCCTAGGATAAGAAACCTGAGTCGTAAGGTGGCGGGGTACCTGCCCAAGTCACAAAGCTGGTATGTGGTAGAGGCATTTGGCTCCAGGGACCCTGCTCTTCATCATTTATTATCCTACCTCTTGTTTCTAGTGATCAGTACAGGTTGCAGTTCTAAATAAAATTAAGACCTAGATTTTTAAATAATAAGTGTCAAGTTTTTCTCAGATGATAGCAGGTTAGACGATGATTACATCAAACAATGGAACTTCTGATCGTAGGAAAAATGTTAGCAGTGCTTCACAGGTTCTTGTGACACCACCTTCTTTTTCTTGAATTAAATTTGTTTTGTTGGCTTTGTAATTTTTGTCACTTGTGGTCCAGAGTGGTGATCACAAGTTAAATACGCTCTGAATTTTTCTTTTATTGTGCATTTAAAATATTGCCCTTGGTTTTTCTTTCAAGGTAAGTGATATTGAATTTGAAAAAGAGCCTCCAGTTTTCCTTCAGAGCCATGGCCTAAAATGTTGCTTGAAAGAAACCTGGACACAGTCAGGAGTCTTATCCAGTGATGAATGCCTAACTTTGTCACAATCCGTGCAAAGAGTGGTAGTTCTAGTGGAAAAACCCCAGCTATAACGGATGGTCCTGTACTTGACCTGTTTTGAATGTTAAATTCCATCTCTTTGAGGTGCAAACAATACAAGTCTCCTTTTGCCAAATAAAGTCATGGCTATTAAAATCTTCTCTACTTTTTCTTAACAAAAATAGAAAATTAAATGCTATACCTGGAATGAAGTTGGAAATTCATAGTAGTCCCTTAAGTATTTGTTGACTTGACTTATTGACTTGAAATTCCCTTGACCTCTTTTGTTCCCTGTTGTCTTATTGTTGAAAAGAATCGGGTATGTGGCAGCTTTTTTCGTGTTCTTTAGTCCCTACCTGCTGTGTGGTATGTGTATAGTGCGGTACAGAGAGAGGGAGGGAAGATAGGAGTTTATTGGAAGTCGGTATTCAGTTCTGTACTAGGTGTAGAAATATAAACATTTAACTTGGATTGACCAATATGAGACCATGTGCAATATAGTGCAAAGTTGGATGGTACAGATTTCCTTTTATTTTTCTTATGTGGCACCTGATTTCTTATTTGGACTGTATAAATCATTTATTGAGTGAATGAAAAAGTAAATGAAGGAATGACTACATTCCTTATATGACTACATAAATGTAAGTTCTGTAGGAGTTTGTGTCCATGTCTTTATTCCTTTTAACTCTACTACTCTTAGCCCTCCTGTTTAAACCGTGGCCTAATTTAAGATTTTTTCACTCACCTGTATTTCATACTGCTCATTCCTTTTTCTCCTATTCCTATGATGTTTATCTGGGTGATTGCATTAAACTTTTACCTGTGCTATCCGCCCTATTCTCCCAATCCATTGTCTGGTGATAGCTACCATCTTTCTCAAGCTTGCTAAGAGCTATTCACTAGATCCCTTTTGTACTAGCAGAAGTCCAAACACCTTAGTGCATCATGCAAGACTATCTAGGGTGATAATTTAAGATCTTTAAATAGAATTCCTATCCTCAAAAATGTCTTAACGATAGTTAATCATACTATATGATCCTGATTTCCCAGCTCCTGGTAGAATAGTATTAGGCCTGTGGGTGCTTCCTCAAAACTTACAAGCCATAAAAGATAAAAATTTTATTTATTTAGGCCTCTGGTGGTTGAAGTAACTATTCTGTAGATCTCCAGCATTCTTTATGAAGGTAACAGGCCAGGGCATTGCACCCACGTTAGTACGTTACTACGTAGTTGTAGCCATTACTTAGTAAACATGACTTTATTTTCTTTCAGCCAAAGAGAGGGTTTTAAGTAACTTGCGGAAGCATGAGGCTCCCCAGCCTCCCCTTGCCCTGCACCCAGTGAAGCCTCCTGTGCCAGTTATTTCCTCTGCCGTGCTCCTGAGTCAGAAGGGTACCACCCAGCTGGTGCGCACAGACCTGCACCTGTTGCAACAGCAGGCCAGGTGAGACCATGAGACCTTGGGGATC